CCAGCCTGTCCAGATCCTTCTGCAGAGCCTCCTACCCTGCGGCAGATCAACACTCCCACCCAACTTGGTGTTGTCTGTGAACTTACTGAGGGAGCACTTGGTCCTCTTCTCCAGAAGATATAGAAGATAATATATAAAGATATTAACAGAACAGGCCTCAATACTGAGTCCTATAAATCAAAACTTATGGAACTTGTTGTTTAAAGGAACAAGGAACCTGGGCCCGTGGAGTCCAGTAATCACTCATTTTGGAAACAGCAGCTTCTACCCTAATGAAGGTTGGAACTAGTGGAGAAGAACCCGTGTATTTATCCAAATATTTTGGAATCTAACAGCTACAACTAAGAGGCTTTTTCCTTCTTACTTCCAACCCAACTTTATCCATAGCCAGTTTACACCCATTTGATCTTACCAGTGGTTTGGTGTAGCACTGACCACACTGACAGCCTCAGGGAAGTCTCTGTGCTACCCTTCCCAGCCCAGCTTTCCTGTGGGTAGGGTGAAGATGCTTATTTCTTAAAGCTATTGAGGATGGGTGGTATTTGCAGAGACCTGTGAAAATGCTGAGCTCACAATGTTATTCCTGAATTGGCTTTTAATGTTCCTGGAAGGATGAGGCTAAATTAGAAAGTACAAACCCACCATAACAAAAATACCGCTGTAGATTGTGTTGTAAAAGTGGGTTTATTGTTCCATGACTCCTGCAAATAAAAGCATGTTTTCCTAATAGAATGAATCACAGAATCTCAGACTGGTTTGGGTTGAAGGGACCTTAAAGCTCCTCCAGTTCCAACCCCTGCCATGGGCAGGGACACCTTCCACTAGAGCAGGTTGCTCCAAGCCCCTGTGTCCAACCTGGCCTTGAACACTGCCAGGGATGGGGCAGCCACAGCTTCTCTGGGCACCCTGTGCCAGCGCCTCAGCACCCTCACAGGGAAGAGCTTCTGCCTCAGAGCTCATCTCAGTCTCCCCTCTGGCAGGTTCAAGCCATTCCCCTTGGCCTGTCCCTACAGGCCCTTGTCCAAAGCCCCTCTCCAGGTTTCTTGTCTGGATCTCTCCCTCCACTGCAGCGCTTTTGAGTCCTGCTGAGCTCTCTTCTTCCTTACTGTGGTGCTTCATTTCTTGAATTACTTGTAACTTCAATCTCAATTAATGTGTCAGCTTATGAAAGCAATATTGGCAAAATGGCAATAGCTTGCTCTTAATGACCACAGAGACCCATCTATGTGACAGCAGCTTTGTTCCCGAGCACGCAGGGGTCTTGCTGTGTTTGCATTTTTCTCTTTAATCAAAATCATCAGGACTCAAGTAAGTTCTTTAAGAACAATAGGCCTGAAAGCTACACATGAGTTTAAGTAAATATTTTCAAGATGAGCTAATTTGAGTGAAAAACAGAAGTATGTTTAAAACAATAATGTTTGCAAGACATCACATTCATCCTCATTGTTATGACCCCAATGCATAAATGTAATGGAAGCCAGAGAGGATGGCTGTAGGGAAGAGAATCTAATCTCCATTTAAGCATGTTATATTTGGGTATTCTTCAAATTCCTGTGATGTTTTACAGCATAAATACACTCTGGACACTTTTTGGATGCTTTTCTGCTTAAATTGTGAGGCATCTTAATAATAAGGTGGCACCTTTTTCCTTTCTTTTGAGGAATCTGAAGCCAGGAAGCAGAGGAGTTTCATTGTGTTTTGCTGTGGATACTCTGGGGCTTTTCAGCAATTCATGAAGTGCTACATAAAAATGCTGTGAATGCTCCAAGCAATTAAAATGCCAGGAAGAATAAACCAAGCAGAGTTTAATTACCTGAATCACTTTTCTTAAGACACCAGAGTTAATGCTACGCTTGCAAAACGCGCTATGAAATACGTAGTATTAATTGCTGGAGAGGAGACCTATTATTCACCTCCAGGTCCCTCTTGTAGGTGCTTACAACAGCAGCAGTATTAGAGGTGAGGCTTTTGATTTGAAGATTTGCCTGTGGGAATGTCCCCAGTGGGGTCCCTGCTTACTCTCCATCATCATAGAGTCATAGAATGGTTTGGGTTGGAAGCAACCTTAAAGCTCATCTAGTTCCAACCCCCCTCAGCGTCATCCTCAGGGTTTCCTTAACATCTCCTATCCTTATCCCAGTCCTTGAACAATATGAGGCCTGGCTGTTGGGTGGCATGTCCTTTTAAACAGCACTTAAACAATGAATTCCCTCCCTGTCTGCTGGCAGAGGTTCGGATCGCTGCAGTCGAGGCCCTGTGTATGCTGGCTCAGTCCTCGCCTTCCTTCGCGGAGAAATGCCTGGATTTTCTGGTTGACATGTTTAATGATGAAATTGAGGAGGTGAGGTTGCAGTCAATACACACCATGAGGAAAATTTCCAACAACATCACACTGAGGGAGGACCAGCTGGATACTGTGTTGGCTGTCTTGGAGGTAAGGAATTCTTAAAGAGGGGAAAAAAATCCGTTCCTGCTTTCTTTGGGGTGCTTTGTTATATGATGTTCATCAACCCCTTTCGGATGAGACTGACCACCTTTTTGTTGGGCTCTTTCTCCTCTTGAACAACCCCAAAGGCTAAAGTCATAGGAATCCCAGATTGGTTTGGGTTGAAGGGACCTTAAAGCTCAACCAGTTCCAACCCCTGCCCCGGGCAGGGACACCTTCCACTAGAGCAGGTTGCTCCAAGCCCCTGTGTCCAACCTGGCCTTGAACACTGCCAGGGATGGGGCAGCCACAGCTTCTCTGGGCACCCTGTGCCAGCGCCTCAGCACCCTCACAGGGAAGAACTTCTTCCTTATCTCCAACCTAAATCTCCCCTGTTTCAGTTTGAACCCATCACCCCTTGTCCTATCACTCCAGTCCCTGATGAAGGTCCCTCCCCAGCATCCTTGTAGCCCCCTTCAGACACTGGAAGCTGCTCTGAGGTCTCCACGCAGCTTCTCTTCTCCCGGCTCGACAGCTCCAGTGTTCTCAGCCTGCCGTTGTATGGGAGGTGCTCTGGGTCCTGTAGCTTGTAGTGTCCAGGACAGCAGAACACCAGAAATAGATGATTTTCAGATAAAGCTCTTCCCTTGATCCCTGTGCTATTGTCTCATGTGTGTTTCCTTCTGTCTTGGTTTGTGGTCCAGCACTGCACCACTTCGTGTTGAATACAACTTCATTTTCTTTCTAGTTCCTTTGTTTGGCTGCTTTGGCTACACCTTTGCTCACCAAGCAGAGCCAGAGCCAGGCATGAGACCTCTCTTCTGACTGTTTAGAGCTTGTTCGTGTGCTCTGTGGTATAGTTTTGGGTGTTCCCAACCAGCATCCTTCCAGTCAGTGCTCAGCCAGGATCCAGAGCACAGCGCAAGTCAGCTGCTGTTACAGCTTGATGGGGTTGATCTGGGAAGAGATTTTGGCTGTATAAACAGTGCTGCTTCCCCACAGACCTGATTTATTTGCTGAGCTATAGCCCCTGAGGTGTGGGTGTTTGTTTTCTGTTTGTGCTGCATGTAGCAGGCAAGTTTCTGCCTCTTTTGGGTAGTCTCCCAGCCTCAGGCGTGCTGCAGATCTGCTCTTTGTGTTTTCTCCTGCTGTTCACTTCACCCAGGGCAACACTGGTGTGTCCCAGGAAGAAGCAAACTAACTCATCTCTTATCAGGCTTTAACAAATGCTGTGGTACATGATCTGAATGAGTTGTGGGTTCCTCACGTTTTTAGATAGGTGATTTACATTCATTCCAGTTGAAGATCTGTGCATCAGGGTATAAAGTTGTCCCAATTAGCCTGGGGTCTGTCTTAAGCTTCTGTGCTGACTGTGATAAATCATACATGTGTTATGGTTTATATGATCATCATTATCAGGTAATGGGATAGCTAAAGTGTGAGAATTACTAACATTTTAATGGCTTGGTCTGATTCTGAAAGGTGTTTTCTTTCTATAAATCCATCTTCCAGCACCAAAATAAAGGATATGGAAAAATGGCATTAACTTTAGTGCCTTAATTTCTTCTGGGAATGAAAATGTGGAATATTTGGGAGTGTGGATAGCTTCTGTTTTCACCCCACTGCTTTGAATTCACCTGAATAGCTACCATCTCCTCCTTGCTTTTCTGAGCAGGCTTTAGATCCTGCTTTGCCTGTTGCCTTTGATATTAGTTGCTGCTGAGTTGTGCTCCTCTCTGTCCCTTCACAGTCTTGTCCCTCCCTTCTCTCTGTCCTCCCTTTCAGTATTCTCTGCCACTCACCTGGAGTCCTTTATGTCCATAATCATTTGATTTTAGTCCTTAGAGTCTATCTTCTCTTTTGGTCATAGTCTGCCTTCCACCACCACCAAAACAAGGAATAGGTTCTGCTGAGCTTTCCTCCTTTGGTCGTTTGTGTGTGTTGGTGTTATTCAAGAGCCTTTACAAGAGATCTGCTCTTTCTTCTTTTGTGCCAGACAGTGATGAATGAGCTGTTGATACTTAGCATAAAAAACACCCTTGAAACCCAGCCAGGGTTTGTATCCTATCAACTTTTCACATCCTACCCAGCAGTGCCACACAAATGCTGATAGCAAGAGAGTGTAATGCATTGATAGGGAATGGCAAGGTGGGGTTTAGCCGGAGGAATGTAATTAAGTTGGAGTTCAGCCACAGTGCTTCTAAAAATACTACTTGGAGCATGAACAAGCTCCTCTGTGCAACGTCACCCTGGCCTGAAAACTAAGATGGGCCCAGTGTGACTTGAAAAATGGTATCTCAGGGATCTGTGTGATCATAAAAGAGCTCCTGACCAAAGTTACAAGTGTGGTTTTTGGGGCTTGGTTTGTTTGGTTTATTGTCCATCTAAAAACCCATAGTTAGGTCAAGTTCTTTAGCCTGTAGATGATGACTTGTTAACTCAGTCTGCACAGCCTCTGATGTGTCCTCAATGCTTACTCAAACCCCCGGAAGGCTGGTAACTGGGTTAAAGGCTTGTGGAACTTTAACCTGTTTAAAGCTGGAGCTGAGCTTCACGTGTTGAATGATAAAAGGCTTCTCCAAAGACAATAAAACAGCCTTTGGTTTGTTTCCATAGAATCACAGAGTCCTTTGGGTTTGAAGGAACCTTAAAGCTCCTCCAGCTCCAGCCCCCTGCCACGGGCAGGGACACCTTCCACTAGAGCAGGTTGCTCCAAGCCCCTGTGTCCAGCCTGGCCTTGAACACTGCCAGGGATGGGGCAGCCACAGCTTCTCTGGGCACCCTGTGCCAGCGCCTCAGCACCCTCACAGGGAAGAGCTTCTGCCCAAGAGCTCATCTCAATCTCCCATCTGGCAGGTTCAAGACATTCCCTGTCCCTACATCCCTTGTCCAAAGCCCCTCTCCAGGTCTCCTGGAGCCCCTTTAGGCCCTGGAGCTGCTCTAAGGTGTCCCCTTGAGGAGCCTTCTCTTCTCCAGCTGCCCCAGCCCAGCTCTCTCAGCCTGGCTCCAGAGCAGAGCTGCTCCAGCCCTCGCAGCAGCTCCGGGGCCTCCTCTGGCCTCGCTCCAGCAGCTCCACGTCCCTCTTGTGCTGTTCCCCAGAGCTGGATCAGGGCTGCAGGGGGGGTTTCCCCAGAGCACACGAGAGGGGCAGGATCCCCTCCCTGAGCTGCTGCTCACGCTCTGGGGGTGCACCCAGCACACGGGGGGGTTCTGGGCTCAAGCGCTCACTGAAGCCGGGTCATGGGGAGCTTCTCCTCACCCAACACCCCAAGTCCTTCTCCTCAGGCTGCTCCATCCAGTCTCCCCCAGCCTGTGCTTGTGCTGGGATTACCCAGCACCTTCCTTTTCTGTTACTGCCTATTCCTAAGGGTACAACATCACCCAGACCAAACAGTGATTCTTGTTCTGGTTGAGAAGGTCAGCAGTGGAGCAGTCCCTGTTCATTCCAGGACATGAAGCCCAGGGTGGATGAGACCAACAGGAGACCCTGCAGCAGTAGCTGGGTCTGGGCTTAGCTGTGATAACTAGAAATGTGTGTTGTTCTTCAGATGCCTCTAGTACTAAATTAGGCAAGGAACAGGAACTGCTGCTCTGAAGTCAATGTGTCTGCAGGCACATCCCAGCACTAAAAGATGTCTGGGTTGGGACTTGTTTGTGGTTTTTAGGATTCTTCAAGGGATATTCGGGAAGCACTTCATGAACTGCTGTGTTGCACCAACGTGTCGACTAAGGAAGGCATCCATCTGGCACTGGTGGAGCTGCTGAAAAACCTGACCAAGTATCCCACCGACAGAGAATCCATATGGAAGTGAGTGTGTTCAGTGTCCTTGTGTGTCCGCTTGTTTTCCTGTTCTTAGTAATCAAGGGATTAGGTAAATACTGAGCTAGCCAAGGAGGTAACAGGTATTGCAGGTGTATAGTCCAGTTATTCCACAAATATTTGGAAGAGTGGCTCCACCGAGCACTGTACATATCCATGACTGATGTGGAAACTCTCCTGTTCTTGTTTGTCAATACTTGTACTGGGAATCCAGAACTGATGACCACTCCTGGAAGTACTGCAAGTACTCAAAGCATTCCCAGGAAAGATGAGGTTTTAAAGTGAGGGTTGAATTCATCTTTTTTATGCAACTGATGTTTTACTTGACACTGCATTAAACAGCAGCTGATTATGTCCCTTGTGACAAGAGGATGGGTTGTGGCATTGTGCTGTTGGAGGGACAGGAAAAGTCCTCTGAGGTTGTTTAATGGGAGCAACAAAGGAAGTGATGCTCCAGCACACATGGTTTGAGATGGAATTGGTGGGTATTATTGGAAACACTTATTTTAGTCTGCTTTGGCTTGGAGTTTGGGGGGTGTTATTTGGTTGGGTTTTACCTCCTCACTCCTTTATTTCTGCTGAATAAAACACACTCGTTTGTTAGTGTTTAGTCTGAAAGCTTTTTTTGTTGTAGAGCTCCAGGTATTAAGTGTTTCAGGGTAGTTTAAATAAGCAGTTTTATTACTGCTTGCTTCTTCAAGCTGTCCCCTCAGTTTTCTTGGATCCTGTCAATTATTAATGCAAACATTCAGCTGTGAAGAGACAGTAGACTTGGACACTGGGGTTTTAAAGCTGAAAGTGTTGCTGCAACGTAGTGATGCTTTAAAACGTTGTAGTTTGCCATGGACATGTTGACTGAGGGATACTTTGTTCTGTGTATTTTCAGATGCTTGAAGTTCCTGGGCAGCAGACATCCCACTTTGGTGCTTCCCTTAGTCCCAGAGCTGCTGAGCACACACCCATTCTTTGACACTCCAGAACCAGACATGGATGACCCAGCCTGTATCTTTTTCATGAAGCCATGTTGGATGGTAAAAGGCTTCTCCAAACACTGTAAAAGTCTTTGGTGGTTTTCAGAACCACAGACTGGTTTGGGTTGAAGGGACCTTAAAGCTCCTCCAGTCCCAACCCCTGCCACGGGCAGGGACACCTTCCACTAGAGCAGGTTGCTCCAAGCCCCTGGGTCCAACCTGGCCTTGAACACTGCCAGGGATGGGGCAGCCACAGCTTCTCTTTTTAATGGATCATTCAGCCTGAAACAGATTTAATTCATATATTCCTGATGTTCATATTTAAGTGATATCCAGTTGTAGCAGACAATCCTGTCTGCTACAAGCTATTTCTGCATCCCTTTGCCACTTAGTCTTATTACTCAGCAAATGATGGAATAGCTGTTGTCTGGAACCATCTTCATAAATGCCAGTGTGGTATAAAATTGACCTTCTTTTTTATGCTGTGATGAATAAGGTGTTTATCAAGCAATTTGTCAAGGTTTAGGCTTTGCAGATGAGTCCTTTGATGTGAAAGCTGGTTTGTGCTAGTTTAAAAGGTGCTTTTAGCTTTTAAATTAGCTTTAAATAATGGTTTTCCTTCTCTGCTTTCTTTATAAGTAAAACTTGTGCTGTCCTCACTGTGCAGTGTGTAGAGCAGCACCACCTCTTAGTACAGCATCGGATGAGTCCCCATCATGCTGTAAATTCATCATCTTTTTGACATAATGCAAGATCAGAAATCCTCCTATTAACTTGAGCTCTTCCCATGCTTTAGAATACAAACTGTTCTTGTTGTACCATTATCCTTGACAATAGGAGGTGCCTTGGAAATGCAAAATGCCATTTTTTCCCATTGTTCATTGCCTTTGCTTCCCTCTGTGCTGTTGCAGAACGTGATGTTATTTCTGATGCGTGCTGAGACTTGTTCAACTGGAACAAGTCTCTTCCTCTGTGAATCTCCTCCTCATTTCTCTCACCAGACACAGGCCGTCAGCTAGAAACTCTGTGCACATTAAACAAATACCTCGTGAGAAGTGGAAAGGACTGAAATTGGGTGCAGAGAAAGATTAACCAGATGGTTGAGTAATGATTTGAGTCAGTTTGTCCTATGAGCTGAGAATTAAAGGAACATTGTGGTGGGGGAAAGCTGTCATTTAGCTCAATGCACCTTCCTGCCCACAACACAAGAATATTATCTTAGAGAATGTTCTGGAAGTGACTTGCAACCACATTTTATGGAGATGTGTTATATGAAGACAGGTCTGGAAGCCAGAAACGACAAGTTAGACCTGGATGGTGCTTTTGCAGTGTAAATTGTTAATGGAAAACATGGTTTTCTTTGGTACAAAGCACTTAGGAAACTTGAATCAGGTTAGTAAATTGCTTATTTGGAAAAGATTTTTGGTTAAAGAGGAGAAATTGGTTTGTCAAGTGGAAACCTTTGTGCTTGGCAGCTCATGGGTGCAGTAGATTTTGAAGGAGGAGAGAGATACGGGTTCAGTCCTGTCTGAGGCTGAACCTACTTCTTCCTCATGCAGAAAAGTGCCTCAATGACCATAGGTTTTGCATTGGGATCCTTTCACACTCTCCTGTTAGAGATCTTACAATTGGGATCAACCCTGTTGCAGGCAAGTGCTTTTGGGATGATTAAAGCTTCTGGCAGCCCTCTGTATTTCTCAGGCTCTCAGACTGTGAAAAGCTTTTCTTTCTATTCCAGGATTATCTTCCTGTGTTTAATTCTTTGGTTTGGTTTAGGTCTGTGTAAGGGGAATGTTTCTCAGGGCATCATAGGAAATGTATCAATTTTCAAAGAATCAGAGAATCCCAGCCTGGTTTGTGTTGGAAGGGACCTTACAGCTCATCCAGTCCCAACCCCTGCCACAGGCAGGGCGACCTTCCACTAGAGCAGGTTGCTCCAAGCTCCCCTCTGGCAGGTTCAAGCCATTCCCCTTGTCCTGTCCCTCCATCCCTTGTCCAAAGCCCCTCTCCAGGTCTCCTGGAGCCCCTTTTAGC